TATATATATATATATATATATATATATAAAACAGAGTGTTGGCTATAGAAACGAGCGAAAATTTATCGCGAACACGGCACAAGCTGCTAAGAAAACCGTAGCTAACGTTAAGTGTTGTTCCTCGTATCTTCCACGGACCGCTTTGTGCAGCGTTATATCGGTAAACAACTTGACGGGGGATATCGCGATAAACGTGATGCTTTATCGTAAAGGTAAAGCTATACCTACGGGCAGAATTTTTTGGTTATTGGCGAATGAACAAATGTGCGGGGAACGAATAACAACGTGAAGACTGGCAATGATGCATGCGGCCAACAAGCGTAACGAATGTGACCCAACGTGCACTAAATGAACGCCGGATTCTCGGCAAATGTGATATTTACGTTGAAACGACGAAGAGAACCCCTCACACGACACGGCAGTCTATAGGAGACTGACTAGAATCATAGGACGACGAAGACAGCGACGATACGGCCGCTTGATAGTGGCGCCACGGAGCGGAATATGTTCGCTCGATCAGACGGCGTCATAATTGAGGTTATGTCGAAAATGAAAATATCATCAGTTATAATCCCGAGTGCCACCCTCACGATTAATGTGGCCGCTTGTTCGATAAGGACAGGCAACCTATATTCATGCGTCAGAAGAATCACGTTCCCTTGGTGTACGAAAATACATTAATGAAATTAACGCTGGCACGGAGAGACTCACAGATAACGTTCCGCGCGACCGTACCGCACCTTGTGACATCATCGATATACCGCAGCGATCGAAGCCGATTGGACACATCGGGACACCGTAATTATGATTTGCTAGTCTTATACTCTAAACTCTTAATTTGTTGATTTGAAATACGTTTTGCTTTATTTCGCAAATTTATCTGACAAACCATATTTTAGTCTCACTTTTAATGTCAAATACTACTGTCCGGTTCGGAACTTTATGTGCTCGCATGAAAATTGCGCGTGATGTTGCTTCAATTTGAAATTTATGATGATCATATTTGCGTTAAAATTTTTCAAATTCGGCGCGTCATAATATATTGTAACTGTTGTGATTAGGGAGACAAATTTGCAATTTGCTCTCGGTTAGTTGGAAGTATGCGACACGTTATCAACACGCATCCTTAGAAATTCAGTTAGAACAAAGGGTAAGTGAGTGACACACGATCGTGATTCAATTATATAATCTATATTTTAACTCTCTGTTAGTTGTAATATCTAATAGATATGCATATTCAGGCTACAATGTATCGTCATTGCTATATGGCCTCACGATCGAACTCATCCTTGTCAATATTCTTTATTTTCATTATTCTTCGCTGTTTTTACGTACTTTAGTGCCTGGTCTATTAGCCAAGTGCTAATAGAAGAAAAATTGTTTCAAGGAATAGAGGAAAATAATGGGAAAATTAGTATATCTGTGAGATATATTGCGACCATTCGTCGGTGAAAAATATTGCGACTAACGGAAGGTTAAGGTGAGTATACACTGAGCGAACAAACAACGAACGATCAGCGAATGTGTATATTCGCGTCTAACACGCACGAAATTTCTCTAATGAAGCACCTTATGAGTAAATCGGCTTGAAACGAGTCTGTCTGAATTCGTTTTGATGTGTGCAATTTTCTAAATCGTAACAAAAAATAGTTCGCATTCGTTGTCCATTCTTCTTCATCTTACGTTCATTCTTTCATTCGTTCTTTTGTTCGTTCGATATATATTCAGCTTTATAGTGTATTAATAGGGCAATGTGTACAACAGAAACGAAGAAAATTCTTTTACTCCAATCATGAAATCCAAAAAGAAAACACAGGAAAAGTCGTTCAAAAAGGCAGACAGGAAGAAGACTGAAAGACAAAAGACAATAAAGAAGATGAAGAAGGAGGAGGAGAATTTAAGTCTGTACATACATAGGGTGTTGAAACAAGTGCACCCCGAAATAAGAATCTCCAAACAGGCCATGAATATCATGGACGATTTTCTTCGTGACATGTTCGAGAAATTGACTAACGAAGCATCACTTCTGGTAAAACGTCACGTCAAGCAAACCACTCTTTTATCCCGAGATATACAAACTGCGACACGCCTGATTCTACCAGGGGAATTGGCAAAACACGCTATTAGTGAAGGGACCAAGGCTGTCGCCAAATACCTCACGAATACTAACTAACTACATAACTGAAACACTCGTACATTTCTCGCAATTAACATGGTTTCATATTTTTTCTGTGAAAATATTAATTTTAAAAATGACTATATTATTTTGTTTTTTTATTTAAATTACAATACTTAATAATATTTTGGTTACGTTAGTTGATAATATATAATAACTATTTTATATTATATTATTTTCATATATTATTTTCATTTTGATATTATTATGTTGTTAATATAACATAATTATTAGTAATAACTAATTTATAGGTACGGAGACATTAACATTAAATAAAAGCAATTGTATTTTCCAACCGATCGTTTTTTCAGACGACACAAAATGTCCCAAGATAATCTTGGATATATAATCTTGAGAGCATCTTAAATATTCTGGATGGTCCTAAGATATCCTATGCTATGTGAATTAGCTTATCAACATTTCTCATTTCTGTATCACACATTTTTGGTTCTATGACATTTTTATCTATAATGAAGCTTACTTCTATTATGTCGCAATGTTTAACTTTCCCAAAATATTGATTTTATTTTATTTTCTATTTTATGCGAAGTATTGCGAGAAAAGGATTGTGAACATTGAAGACGCACCGTGTTCGAGTAAGAGAAAAAAATTCTTAATATCGTAATTACGTTTCCGCTATCGATGTGTTTGTGGAATAAAAGGTAATTTTAGATTTGATTCTAAAATATGTATATAATATAAAATAAGTAAACTTATCGCCTATAGTCTATGCACAGGATAGCTTATCTATAAGCAGCAAAGTTATCCGATATTATCTGTTAGAATCAAATAGTATGGTACATATGTCATATCGATTGATAATACGTAAAATTGATAATATCTAAATTTATTATAATGACTGTGACGTTTATTAATAAGATACAGTAACGTTTATTAATAAGATATGGGTAAAATTAAAAATTCCGCAAAAACTACAAAAGTTTCTTTGAAGCGAAGAACATCTATTGCACAGATAATTAAAAGGACGGAAAATTGGTTGTATTGTATTCCCACACAATCATATGTGTTCCGATATTCACTGCCAGTACTAAAAATCTATAATATACGTAACATGAAGTACAGACTTTATTTAATATTGGCAGTGAATTTGGGAACGAAGCTATAATAAACATCATTCTAATTTTGTATCTTAAAAAAATATATAATTTATTGTGATAATATGAAAATGTCATAATATGATATTTCCTTTATTTAAGATTCAAGAAAGATGGTTGACAAATACAAAAACTGAGTTAAAAATTATACAAAAATCTGTTTTAAACCTAGGTCTGTTTTAAAAAAGTTATGCTTTAGGGCCAGTCTCACAATCTCCGATTAACTTAATCGCCCGATCAAGTGTCAGCCGTGATCGGTTATTTTTAGTCAATTTTGCTTAACGCGATAAATGTGATTGGTCAATTCTAATGGAATAATCAGTGGATTAAGTTAATCAGAGGTTATGAAACTAGATCTTATGCTCGTTTCTACTATCTTGGCTTGAATCTAATCGACGATTAACTTAACAGAATTGACCAATTGCATTGTTCAATTAATTAACTGATCCATGTGATTGATCAATTCCGTTAAGTTAATCGGCCAATTATGTTAACCGGAATCGGTAGTTAATCAATTAGATTCGATCGATCATCGATTAGGTTTAAACCATGATGGTAGAAACAGACATTAAGGGCCACTTAAGTTAATCGGAGTTGGTGCAAGTAGCCCTAAAAATAATTCGTTATGCCCGGTTCCACCATTATGGTTTAAATCTAATCGACGATTAACTTAACGGAACTGACCAATCGCACTGGCGAATTAGCTGAATTGATCAATGCAATTGGTCAATTCCATTGAATTAATTATCGATTAAATTTAAACTATGACGGTGGAATCGAGCATAACATGACCCGTTACCACTACCGTTGCAAGATGTTCTAGATAAATTCAGGTTGATTTGAAGATATTTCCGTACTCCATTTAGGGAAATTACAAAAATTTTCGAAATCTTGGCAACACGATTTACATTCATCGTTTCTTATTCGTTTTTTTTCCTTGTTTTTTAGAGAAAATAACCTCTCATCAATTATTTAACTAATGAATTTAATTAATTCGGCTAACGAGTAAAATTCATTTAAAATTTTCGAAAGTTTCTATATACTTTTTTACCTATATCCGGACTGAATTTGTCGAATCCAATCTCCGATCACATCTTTCCTTGATGCACGGCAACTCGTCGCTGACCAATGAGATGGCTTTATAGCGAACGGCCATTTCCTTTCTCTACGGTTACTCGGAGCACAGCTGAGAGATCTTACCGTGCGCTATACAGCAGTATCGTCGTGCGGTTTCGTTGCAAATAGGGCGAGCGAGATAGGGCTTTGCTGCACATCCGCTGGTTCCGTTGCCGTATTTCATCGTTTCGCCGCAAACAGTAAGCAATAATATTACAGGTTTGCGTCGCGTTTGCGTTATTAACAAGGCAACGCGATGGTCCTGGCGGAGAGGAACTCTGAGAACGTACGAAACGGCCGAAGATCGAGAGGCCCCAGCCCTAATGTGCAGACGGAATCGTCCAGCGAAGAGGATGCAGGTATAACGAACGAACTTGGTCAAATCTCCGTTACCGGATTCGAGCGTCTCGTTTGAATTCGTAACTTGTATTTCGCCTCGCGAAGGCACGGGTGATGGTTTGAGGCATTTTTGAGTCAGCATACGAGTCAAGGTAGCTCTAATCGAGTGTTCAACATATACGGTGCACTTGGAACAACGCGCTTTACTCTTCCTGCCATTTGAATATCTCTCGCATATAGTTGTAGGTATTCCGTAAAACTCTACAACAATTTTCTTTTATTTTTTGTAAAAGTTGCATCTTGGAAAAATAAATATTTAAATAGAATATGTATGTATATGTATGTAAATATATATGTGTGTGTGTATATAAAACTTATAATACACAATAATGCAATTATATATAAAGATGTTAACGACAAGCTCTAACAGTAATTGACTAAATTTATAGATTATAAAATGTTACTTTTTTTTTACATAAACTTTATGAGCAGAGTTTGTTATTATAAATTGAAGTTAATATATTACATATAATATTTGTATTTTATACTTTGCAAATATTCTACAATAAGTTTAATTTTTATTTTTTCTATCATTACCTATATATATATTTTTTTTTTTACCTCATACATTATACATGATAAATTTGATGGATATATTAACATTGTAATCTTTTCTTCAGTTCCAGCAGAGAAAATAAGAGTTGGACGTGATTATCAGGTTATAGTCCCAGAATATGTTCCTGTTCATGGTATGTTACTGTTAACACTAGTAGTATATAGGCAATGACTTTATATATGTATATTCAAGACAATATATTATATATTTTAGAACGTCGATTGGATCAATGTCCTGATAGAGCATTATTGGTTTGGTCACCAACCACAGATATACCAGATCAAAAATGTAAGCAATCGGCTTATACAGTTTGCTTCATTTTAATGGAAACAATAGAATATCTTGAAAACAAAGCAACTAAATATAAAATCTATATCTAAATACTAACTATAAACTTCACACAAAAAGTATACTGAAAAATATCAGAATAAAAAGTAAAATATCTTGAAAAATATTCACTTTTCAATGAGTTTATTCTAGTATTTTTATACACAGAATGAACAGAAGAATCAATATTGAGTTAAAAGAAACTATATAATCTCATTAAAAAAAAAAATGAAATTGACCTTGAAATTATCTTGAATTATTGACTATACAACGAAGTTAAGATCGCCAACTTATGTCTCCTTTCAAATCCTACAACTTTTGTCTGAACTATTTTTTGTCAGTTGCTTTATTTTCAAGATATTCACAATGTTTCAATTAAAATGGGACACCCTGTATATAAATTAATAAGTATGCAAGTAAAAATTAAAACCTAAACTTATATTCTATTATGTCACTTAGTGGATGAATATATCATATTGGCAAAAGAGAAATATGGTTATAATGGAGAACAGGCGTTGGGAATGTTGTTTTGGCATAAACATAATTTGGAACGTGCTGTTCTGGACCTAGCTAATTTTACACCCTTTCCTGATGAATGGACGGTCGAGGATAAAGTATTATTTGAACAAGCGTTTCAGTTTCATGGAAAAAGTTTCCATCGTATTCGTCAAATGGTATGCATTTTGTATTATTATCATTAATATTAATATTATTCCTTGGTTGATTTCTATAAAATATGATATTCTATAAGAATTTATCAAAATTGATTAAATTATCGATTGATATTTTATGGAAATTTATTGAAACTATTTGTATTATATATTAATCTTATTAAAGTTAAATATTATAAACATGTAAAATGTCATCGAGATTCCTTGTAGTACTTATGATTATTCTCAAGAAATATTAAATAGAATAAAAAAATTGAAAACAAAATTTTATATCTTGAATTTCGAAATTAATATAACCATATTAATGTGACAATATTTTTATGTGTAGCTACCTGACAAGTCTATTGCGAGCCTCGTGAAATACTACTACAGCTGGAAGAAGACACGAACCAGGACATCATTGATGGATAGACAAGCGCGCAAATTAACAACTGGTGGGAAGGAAGGCGAGAATGGCAGCGAAAATGGAAGCGAGCTTGGCTCCAATACAGATAGCGAATCTGAGGAAAAAGTAAGAATATACAACGAAATAAGAATATTCGGAAGTAGTAAGATGCTTAATTATAAACAATTAAAACCTCTATTGAGGAGAAATTCTCTTTATTTTGTGAAATTTGTTTTTTCCCCTGCTTTTATCAAATAATGTTATTGATGTTTTTAAATTTGGGGACAAAATTTAGAAAAAGAAGTACAAGAGTGCCAAAACATATGTCTAAAATAATTGGAAGTCAACTTCAATTTTTTTTATTCATGGAATATAATTTATTCCATGTCACAAAATCTTCCTCTTACCGTCTTTTTTTGTAATAAATATACATTCCATGATTAAAAGATAGTACATAATTTTCCGGCCATAAATTAATACTTCATTAATTTTAACGTAATATTATTCTCTGTTTCCTTTGTTTATGCATAGGAATTTTATTTGTCAATATTGTATAAAATAATAGATTTAGTAAAATAAAAAAAGTTAATACGACGATGACATTAACATGTGCTATCTTTTTATCGCAACGTATATAAGTTCTCTGGTCTTGGCTATTCTACTTGATTGTATTGTTTGCGTATAATTACGGAACAAATTGATAACATGGAAAACAACCGTTTTTCCAAACTTGGACGTCCCAAAGATTATAGAAATGTATCCACACGATAATATATTATGTACAATCGCGTCAGCGAGATGAAAAAATTATTTTGTACAACACCAACGCAACACAGTGACAAGAAATCTATAAATCATCGTGTAAGATGTCTTCAGACATATGTAGGACACAAAATTTTATAACAGACCAATCCTTAAAATTAATGATACATTGAGAGTGAAATTTTTCCACATTTCTCGCACGATAATTAAAACGTCTTGAAAGTCTATTTTTGCATACGTGTAAGAATATAAGTAAATAATTTAGCTGGTCGTTACGTTACGTATGTGAACGTAAATGTGGAACGTTCCAGAAATGGACGATCCACCGCGGAATACGTCGTGGAAAGAACCAAGCTGTGCCAGGAAGCCAAGGCACTGATGTTAAGGCCCCGTCCGACTCGGAAAACGCCCCTCAGGTTCAGGTACTCAGCCTAAACCTTACCCACTCGTATAATAGTATATAGTAAGCTTCACTATGGTTTTGCTATCTTTATTTCGTATCACGTGGATTGCTGATCACTATCATATAGATGTCCCTCTCTTCAAATCCGACCGAAATTGAGCCTTAACGAACTTTTGAATTTAAATTCCTCTTGATTGAAATTCTGATAGGCTGAAACCTTACTGAGGTAGTAAACGCGGTAAATCTCGAAATATGAAACACCAAATGAACGAAGTTGGTTTTGCCAATTTCGTCGGGGAAGAAATGATGATCAAGCCGAGACGAAATGAACACAAAAAGAAAAATGCGCTTGATGTTACAGAGATCAGGATGCGTGTCACGTTGCTCTTTCTTTTCCAACTTGTTCTTAGCTTCGGAAAGCGATTAATGACAAATAAATTATAAAATCAATTATAAAATAGGAATATATGTGTGGGTGGGTGGGGTTATCGAAATTTTCTCTTAAATGGGTGTTGTGTGTTGTAGGGCTCGTGTAGCAATTGCGGCATAGCATGTCATAGTGTTCGTGCGACGCCCAAAGGACACGCGTGTCATAGCTGCTATCTGCACTGGAGGTCAGTGGACGTAACTAAATTAAATACCCAATTTGTGTCTGCAAGTAAATGAATCTTACGTACTACGTAACGCAATAAGCGCCTGAGAGGATATTCATACAAGACAAAACAGACAACGAAAACACACGTTTGGCGGAGCTCGATTGGTAACTCGTCATTTTTCAACTTCAATAATAGTGTCAAGTACTTCTTAATAAATAAGTATGAAACAAAATAGGTGATGTAATGAAGAGGGAACAGTTGACAAGTTCATTCACTCATGTTCATTTCAGATTTATTTAATCAAACAACTGAGGAATTTATGAATATCCTCCACAGTTCGCTTATATCTCGTATATCAAGTTTTATAAGCTATGTCGTGATGTCCAATTCCATTTGACGTCAGAACGCAATGTAGATTTGTTCTTATGTGCCGTCGTAAAGTTCATTTCACGTTGAACTGCACTACAACAGCGAAATTGTTTTCTGCTGGTTTAGGCGCACCGGTGTAACGAGACCGGTGACATCGATGGCGGGTCGTACGAATAAACGAAAACCACCGCGGGGCTTGGTTGTGAATCATGATGATTTGGCAGCCTTGGCTGGGCAACCAAATCAAGCTACCAACAGTTTGCAGGCTATCGACACCGAAATTGTTAGCCTAAAGCGTCAAGTATGTTGTAGAATCCAAAAGTTTATGTAATATACATATCGTGTGGATACATTTTCTTTATTTATACAATCACAACCGTATACTGTGTCTATGATTGTGACATATCTTGATAACAATATAGTTATACATGTTACATTGAATTTGTAATCACTTGTATGTAATAATATGTGCATTGTGTAATAATTTATAAATGCAGATACAATCTAACAAGCAACAAGTGAGCGCTCTGAAGCGGAAGACAGCTGACGGCATTGATGATCTACGGCCAGCTGAAGTGTCAAGCCGCATAAACGCACGTTGGACAAATGACGAGCTACTATTGGCTGTTCAAGGTGTTCGAAAATACGGAAAGGACTTCTCCGCGATCGCCGACGTTATCGGTACTAAAACCGAAGCCCATTTACGATCGTTCTTTGTCAATTATCGACGGAGATACAATTTAGACGCGGTTTTGAAAGAATACGAGGCTGAGAATGGCCCGATATTAGTCGATGATGACAAAGAAGACAAGGTAATACATTACACATCTTGGTGATTGAATTTTCGAGAAATTTTGCCGAATCGATTTTCTTTTAGCAAAATCGTTAAACGATCAAATGAATCTTTCAACAAACGTACGAAGATTATCGCAAATTATGCCTTACGCGAATCAATGTAAGAGCAAACGAAATTTTCTTGCATTCTAAGCTGTTCTTAGTTCGGTAATTTTTATAATTTTATTCACGTATATTTTTTTGAATACTGATTATATTAACAATCTGTATTTTCAGATGGACGTTGATCAAGCAAACGATACCGCAGAGTCATCTCAGAAGGGAAAGACGTCCACAGGATCCGGACAGTCCAGTAAATAACAAACGAGTACAATCTCAAGTACAAAACGAGAAAAAAGTAATTGTACCCAGCGATAACAATCTATAATAGCACATGAAAGATTCACCGCGAGTTTTTGCCATTATTTTGTTTCACGCGTAGACCATTGAATTATGAACGCTTAAATTTAGATCTTCGAAAGCGAATTCTCACAGTACTCGGTACTGTCCCTATGAACTCGCAGTGAAATCAAGAAATGGCAAAATTATGTATGTATACGTATACATATTATACACCAGAGATTAATTTGTTTGTTTTAAATGTAACATTTCACGAATTTGAACATATATGTGTAGAACTTAGAATTATGTAAAGCAAAATTGATCTCATTTGGAGTTATACAATGGTGAATTATCAATTTCGAATATCCTAAAAATGTTAAATCAAAAAAAAAATCTACAATTAATCAAGGGATTATTCGTCAAAATGTTCCATTGAGGCTTCTGGTTTCTCGTTTTTGACAAAATTCCCATAGCGAGGGACTAGAAACCTTGATTATAAAGAATGCAACTGTATGTCTGTATTTATATTAATCTTTCATCAATCATTGCTACTCATGTTGTAGCAGAAATTCCGCCGCAGTGAAACTTTCGTGAGAACTTCACTGCTTACATATATGTATATATATATTTTGTATCACTTGTGTGCCTTCTAAATTTTATTGCTCTTATAATAATCCTTAATAGTCTCTTGACCTTTCTTCCTTATTTGATTTTATTTTATAAGAGCTAAAATCTGATTCTCATATAATTCAAAATTTACTTCGCGGCAAATAACAAAAATGATACAGGTGGTCATTGTTACGTTTAATTCGATCGATTTTTACATCACAAATATAGAAGCCTGTAAGTCTAATGTACATATGAAAAATATCAGATATTTTAACGCTTTCCTTTCTGTAATTACGGATTTGATGCATAACTTGCATGTTACGCTTGACAGAGCTCGATTGTGTAATACGGTAACAATGTTACGATATGGACAATCTTTGCCGTTGTAAGCAGTGGGCGGAAAGGAAAGAAAGTATATTTAATTACAGATGTTTGTAACAACATCAACGGTATACTGAATATTATTATGATCCATTATGAAATTACAGTGCAAAAAATGTAGATATCGTTGTAGTAGTTCATTAAAAAGCATATATATGCATTAATGAGATCAGTCCAGGTGGTAATAATAGAGAGCGCACATTTTGCGAAATTTTATTTATAAACTGCATGATAGCAATTAAGCAATCATATTTTTGTGTGTCTACATAATGTATATAACATATACTCTAAAACTTTACTATGGCGCCAGCTCTCTGTTAGAAACATCTATAATTAATATTTAAGACACCACAGAGAAATATTCCTACAGAGAGATAAACCCATCACTTTTTATTTTACCCTTCTTTTTCTTTAAGGCTTCTCATCCTTTACCGTGGCCATCTTGATTGTTAGAAACGAGAAAATGTAGGATCAGAATTCCTACAAAATATCGAAGTAAAAGGTATGCTCATAAAGTGGCACTTGTAATTCACTGAGCGAATTTTTAACAAGTATCTTGCAAGTTCTCTTACAATTTTCTCGCTTCTGACGTCATTAATCAACATGGCTGCAGCGAGCGACCAGGAGTGTTAATATTTGAGTAATTTTAATAATCCTTTCGGTTCTCCAAACACCACGATAACGTTAACTGATATGGTTCAACGCGAGATTGGCATTCATATGACGATACTCACCCGGTTGTTCTTCGTTATCATTTCGTTTCTGACATTATATGTATATATATATTGGAATTATTATATATATAATGAAAACATTATAAGAATTTAAATGAGTTATATCTCTCGCATGACATTTTACTACGTACGTTCAAAAGAAATCGAATTTTTTGGCATAATTTATATTAGAGTAGACTATATACCGTATGAGAGTCTAAATTTAACAATACTATTAAGTAAATAATAGGTAGATTTAATTTTTATAGTGGTAGTAACGAGACTATTAAGAGTATAAATGTGTCTCTATATACAATAGCAAATAAAAATTATAGCGTCATTCGAATTTGACAGTGGGCGTGCTCCACAAGAGCAATTGTATTTGTTATACGTAAAAGAACGTTAATAATGAAAACTGCGTTCACCGATAGTGACATATCAAACAAACGTGACAGTCCTTCGGTTTATTTTAGCTGCTCAAATTCAGATGAAGATCAAGATTACAATGTAAAAATGAAACAGACCAGTAGAATAATAGTGTAAAAAGTGTTGCTAAATTAAAGAAAGGACTTTGCAATTAGATAAATTATTGCTAGGCGTATAAATATGAAGTTATTCGTCATTATTAATGGCTGCGACGGCTATAAGTGACGACGGAGAATAGCCATCATGCGAATGCGGAAAAGAAAAAAAGTGATTGCACTTGGTAAAATCATGATCACTGTGCTCCGATGGATTTCTGTAAAGGCTACGAAATCTGCACGAGATTCGAGCTTAGCTTTTGTCAAATTTACTTTTCCTTTGAGATTAAATTTATTCGGATTTGACGTACTGCAAGGTGCGGAATTAACATGTACACGCCACATTTTATTTATTTTCACATTAGAAGATTCGACGTTATTTTTCGACGTTTTAATGTATTCGCTCATCATCGCTATTACGGAGACGTTCTTTGTTCGAAACGATATGAGCGTGTTAAAAGGACTTAACTTTGGACGGCCCGAAAAATATGGCTGTATTCGGTAATTTTTCCTTGAAAAAAAATTTCAGAAGAACAGATTGTTTTTCGGGCGGGGTCGCTTGAAGTAATAATATAAAGGACGATATGCTGTATCGTGGATTTGATACGATACCAAAACATATATATAAATTTTCATAGATATTAAGCTGTTTTGTCTTTTCGCAAGAATCTAACAAAGTCTCGGTTGCGTGCAACCATTCGCGAATCGTTTTAACACTATAATATGTAGCATAATGTAAATACACCGTTCACACAAGCTATATATTTATACACATTCCCGAGAATGTGTGTGCCGCACATTTGGCTATACCTGTAAGTTGTACACATGTAATTATTATGCAGAAGTATTAAATATGTCTTGCGCATTTTGTGAAGACGCATGTGTATGTGAGTGAAATTATTTCTTTTTTTTTTCTTTAAGAAACGCGATTATTACAATTAGTAGAATTAAGACACTTTATGAGATGTTCTTCAATCACCTCATACTCCGCATTCCAAATTAAATTCATCTACTAACGAATTATTTTTCATTTCTTTTATTCTCACAACTTTACAAAAATTATACATTCGTTGTTTGTTAATCCACTAATTGGTTAATTAGTAATTGTTAAAATAGCATTTAGATAATTGAAATTGTGAGATGCAAAATTAGTATTAAATTCGCTTTCTATAATTATGACGAGTGATATATCACTGTGACATCACTGTGTTAGTCTATCCCAGTATTATCTCATGAATTGAAGTGTAACTTTCCAAACTGTAACTTTCCAATTATTAAATGCGTGCAAAAGATGTAGTCTTTCGACTATATGAAAGTAAAACAGTTGCGAAAAAAAATCCAAACTTTTGCCTGATACATCTAAACAAAAATTATTTTGGCAGTATTAATACGAATTAAAAAAGAACGATCAAAATTATACACATAAACTATACGTAAAGCATAAAAATTATTTCAACAACATTAACTACAACTCGTCCTCAAAATTTGAATAATCAGCCTCTGAATTGTGATAACAGTTAATTGTGTAAAAAAGTAATGTTGAGTCCGCAGATTTGTCCCCGAAATTTCGCGAGCATTTCAGTTCACTTCTTCAGAGGGAGAGGAACGATCCAGAAAACTGATAGATGAAACTTCAGACATCGAACCAATATGATTTTACGTTTCACAATTTCGGTTTAAGGGGGTCATCCCGTGTGACGGCTTCAAAAAATCGATTTTTTTTTTTGCATAAATCTAATCTAGAGCATGCTTAGAATATACTGGCAAAGGATTTTTTAACTGGTGCCCATGATTTTTCAAAAACGGTTCAATGGATTTAAATAAAATTTTAATGGTAGATTCAGCACATGTGTGGCTATCGTGGGAACTAGATTTTTTTTTTAATATTGAACCGTTTTCTGTTCGCATAAAAAAATAGTCGCAAAAAATCGTGCTATTTTGAGTTATAATATTTAAAAGCACGCGAAAAATTGAATTTATAATATTTTCAAAAAATCCTAGTTCCTACGATAGCCATTCACCTATAGATTAAAATACAATTTGATATTTTGATTTCTGATAAACCAGTCTGCCGGAATCGTGGGCACCGTTTGTCTGCTTTTTTTTACATGGGTGCCATTCCAGTGATGTAACTCGCCATCGACGCCATATTTTTAAATAAAAAAATTTACACATATAGTTTAAGATGTAATAAATATATAGTAAAAATTTGGAAGCTCTGTATTTTTTCATTTCGCCGCAAAAAAATTAAAAAAAAACCTTAAAAAAACGGTCGTCACACAGGATGACCCCCTTAACCTTCCTGTAGTCTTCGGATCTAATCTTGAAATCATTTTTATTTCCCTGTTACATTTTTATGTGATGAATGAGGATTTTAACATTTTATGACTTTGTTTCATAGTTTAGTTTTAAATTAACTCTTTGGGTACATTTGACGAGTGAAACTCGTCATCTGCTTACTTGGGCATAAAATGTATTACTTTTACATATTAATCCATATAGCGACAAATTAAATCCGTCCCATGGACATAAAAATCTTCAAATAATTCTGTACTCAAAGGGTTAATATTCTTGAGCTATGAGAGAAAATTATGAAATGCCAGAACGCTCATTTAAATCATACAAAATCACATAAAAATGTAACAAGGAAATAAAAATAATTTCGGATCAAACAGACCCGAAGACTACAGGAAGGATGAACAATCTGTGCCTGTATTCTGTAATCGTTAACGATAGTGTCGTTGTCGTTAACATTTAACGTTTAGTCGGTTAACTTGCGCGGCTTTTCCCCCATAAATTATACCTGCGCAACGGTTCCGTAATGACGATACTGTCGTTAAAAGTTACAGAATCGGAATCCAAGGTTGTTAGCAGATCCTGCAGATCCTGCAGCACAAAGACTCTTTTGCATGTTAGATAATCCACTTCCTTCATACACAAAACCGCTTGCAGGTTATCACAGTTAGAGGCAATTTTCTTTTGAAGCGCACGACTTATTTCTATTACGCGTGTAGCGTCGCAACGATTGTACCAAGCCCTCTCGTTAGCGCACGGGGACTCGTCGCTCATAGTCTTGCGTTTCACGTACAAATAGCACAAATTTAAGAACTTGGATTCTTCTTTGTAGAAAGTGGTCTCGCCGTGGTAGAACGGGTTTTCGATCGTTCCCTGAGAATCAACCGAATCTTTGATTTCGCGCATGAAATACCGTACGACGTTCGCGATCTTGTCATTGGGCGTGTCACCGGTTAGCGACTCACTAACTAACAAATGACCGACGATATCCTCTAGGAATCGTTGATAAACGACCTCCATGTGTTGCGATCCGTCGTCCATCCCGTCGTATCTCTGCAACAACGTCGACACGATGTCGCGTATCTCGACGATCTCGTCCTTCAGCAGGTCCAAGCAGCACTTTATCAGTGTTAATTCGCTCTCATCCGTCGGTTGCATTAAACGACGAAGCGCGAATTCGATGTGGTCCGTCGCTATCAACCTAGTCGATGGTTCGTCGTTCGTACTCAATTTGAGAACATGCGAGAGCGCCTCGTTCACCAGCGTCTCGTCCTTAGATAACATCACGGTTAGCGCGTCCTTCATATAAATCATGTTCGGACTTGTGCTCTCGATTTGGCAAAACTTTCTTATCAGGTCGTTGACCTTCGTCGAGCTTAACGATTCGATCTCGATATATTCAATCAGTGAGAAATTCTTCATCATTCTTCGCGCCAATGTTACTGTTATGTAAATGAAGGTTAACGGATCGTGGTCATCTTTCAGCGAGATCAAGTACGCCAAGATAAACTCGAATAAATGATGTGAGTGCGATAAATTGAATGAATGCGATCCTTTCAGGAATCCAATGCTTAGCTCTGTACAATTTAAATCCAGGATATCGTACATGACTTTCGGAAGGAAGGAGTTCATAGACCATGCGCGACATTGCGCGTGGAGTGAGAGAAACTGGAAGAATCCTGGCTGGATCTTCTGTGACGGAATTACATGTTCTATTATCGACCAGTCGACGTCGAATTCGCCGAACAACCGTAGCCAGAAGCTTCTATCGCAGTGATATCGCGCTTTCTCGAAGAACAGCGTTTCCACCATATAGCACGGTTGCTTGTATCTCTCGCCATTGCACATAACTCGCCAAGCTGTCCATACATTCTGATACCGCTGATAAAAGTGCTTATATATATTGGAGATACAATATGGGTAAACAGGTAAATCTCCTGACATTTGAGGTATATGTTCGTTGAGAAAAGTGCGAGCATCGTGCATTAGCCTCTCCGTTGAGTGTTCAGAGAGCAAGAGCAATCCGTACAACTGATTGTCGTTTTGGCTTTCACCGATGAACCGCTGAATAGTGTCTAATATCGACACGAGGTGCGTGGAAGGCGTTAGCGCCACTAATGCCTTAGCAGCCATTTGTCTGATGTATATCATCGGTTTCTGACAGAGCTCGTACAATGACTTTTTCAATTTCTCTATGAATGCGGACGACGGATAATCGACGAGATCGCAACCACCCATCCACATTCTGGACAGCAATGTGAGCGTGTGCGCAACCCTCGCATAGGAACGCAACGCCGCGCCCGATGTTCCTGTTACCTTCGAGGCGGCCTGCAATTGTATCAACATACGGCCCGCGAGTGTCGGATAATGCGTGACGAAGTGATTGAGAGAGCAACCGTCCGCAAAATCCAATGACCCGTCTTTTTTGTTGCCCGAGCACTGGCCCACCAATCGCGGCACCACCGCGCCGTACAACTGCAAACTCGCGTTCCTGAAAAAAATATAACGGATATGTTGCACGGGAAGAACGATGTATGTTATATATGAATGGAAATAGAAGAGGAACACCACGTGTCGTAATAAATATACAGTTGAATGGAAGTAAACATCAAAAGAGAAAAAACGACTTAATTGAAAAAAAATCAAATTAATTGAAGAATATCCACCTATCGAATTTAAAGATTTTTTCGAATAAAAGTAAGAAATCAACGAGGAACGTCGTGATAAGTATCTATAATGTCGCACATATATAGTGTTTCTTAAATACTATTTAATACTTTAGAAATTTACTTTTGAAGTCTTTTTATGAAGAAAAGCTTGAAAATTTTAATATGTAAATCTCATCCTTCCATCCCTCTTATTGATTGTTTTACCTTCAGAGCCTTCAATATCTTTCTTTTTGAAGAAAATTTCTTATGAACCTATGGTCTCAAAAATCTCGTTTCAGGAATGCAGGGTATTAAAATTTTATAAAATTATTGTTTTTCTTAATATCTTGTAAATATCTTCTAAACTAATAGCTCTATCGAAATCTAGCAAGAGTACCTTTTTTGTAGGAATAATTAATGAAATAATAAAAATATGCAAAAAAGTTTGATTTTGATCCATTTGTATACAAGTTCGGAGCAGTAATGTACCATCTAAACTTTGCTTATATACGTCAACAATTCTTTGATAAGACGACGACTGTATATCCATAAAATAAAGACAATATTTTGCCAATTTACTAGTCAGAGTTTGAAAAAACAACCTGTTTTCGTTAAAGATCTATAAACGAAAAACGATGATTTTATAGAATTTTTTCAACACCCTGCATCTCTGAAACGAGATCTTTGAGACCATCTGAACTTTTTTCATAAAATAATCTCAAAAATTAACTCCTAAAATATTGAACGGTACTTGAGAAACACTTGGTATGATCGATAAAAGGCGTAAGATATGATAAAGAAGCGACCGTTATGCATATTACCTTACGGCCCAGACGTCGGACTCGATGTAACCGAAACACCTCAGACAAATCTCTTCCATATACGGGATCAGGCTGGCGTGTATCTCCTTGTCCGCAACCAAGGCGCGAAGAAAATGCAGACGTCTCGCCCATGGTGAGTCCTCCTCTGACTGCAATTTCCTAATTTTCACCACCGAGAGATTCTCCAACGAACGTAACAATTTCTGCACTGCGAAGTGCACCGTAGGTCGGTCTTTCCGATCGTCACTAACGACTAATTTATGGAACATGATGGACAATCCTGAACCTCGACGCGTCAGGTGTAACAGCTCTCCCGTAGTCTCTTCCAACAAATTCGTCAAATATGTCCTCGGCAACTCGCAATACTCTTTCCTACCGTAGAGATACCTGAAACAATTGTCAATTAGGCGATTGTACACAAATTGCCCCGACGACCTTGTGCGCTGACAGTTACACGACAGTTGTGTTAAATCAAGTATCTCCATCTCGGATACTTGGATAATTACTTGGATAAATTTGCGATCGCCACTCCGGCGGACTCCACTACGCCTTTATGTCTACATTTCAGCAGTACCGTAACGATAATATCCATGGAACCCTTCACCATCGCATCTGACTGCATCAATATCCCGATTTCGCTGGCAACCTCGCACAATACCTACGCAAAAATAATAAGATACATTACACTTGTTCTATTTGTTACTAATCTGCTTAGGAAATTTCTGATAATTATACATTTTTAGTGATAATAATGAAACGGTAGTAATTCACACTTTAATGTGATGTTAAATATTATGAGACTAAACGCAAGTTATCTACACCTTCAGGGACATCCAGATGCACGAGGTAAGGACCTGGTGCGCTGGCGATAACTGCAGTGCATCATAATTAGAGTCATCGATTTCACTGGTCTTAATATGTTCGTCGATGGCCAGTCCCATTTCCGCGAACGAAGACGAATAAGCTGAAAAATAAAAAGCCTCGACTATATAAATCGTAGAATTAATAATTCTTATTGATAAATAATGATTTATATCGTGGCGATCTTTCGATCGGTCAATCTAATTTTGACGAGAGAGAAACTTATCAATCATTTAATTCGTCGTAAACTGTTTCAATAAATCATTATTAATTCTTAATAATTGACAATTATATATTTTAGTTTGTTTATGATTTTTTATAATGAAATATTATGTGCACCTTGTTAATGTCATACCTGTGTTCGATTGTTTCATGAATAATGTGGACAGAAAGAAGTCAGTTGCGTCTTTTGAAAGATTCAGTACTTCTTCCATAAATTGCGGGGTCAAACTCTGGCTCTCCGGACCGGCACGAAAAGCAACCATCAGTAAAGCGGTCAATGTTCCGTAGAAAGGGTAATTCTGGACAACAGCTTTCAGGATATCGCCTTTCATCAATATCAATTGCTGTCGAGCTGTGTTCAGTAGGAGTTCCGAATAAATCAATGGGTGTACACTTAAATCCGTGCAAATCTCGCGCGAAGGTGCCCAATGCGCCAATATCTTCATGAAAGTCGCTCCGCTCTCGACCTCGTAGAACTTGAAAGAGTTGCAGTGCAGTAATCCGCACTTGTAGATTACCTGATCGTACAGTGTTTTTTACATCATTATTACTTTATAATTTATTTATTTAATATAAAAATAGGCGGGAAAATTTTCTTTTTTATGTAAACAGAAGAAAATAATAGGATAAAAGTACAAAGTGATAATAAAGACAAAAAGAAACAAGGATTTACATTTCTATGAGCAGCGAACTTAATTTTTTTCTAAGTATATTTTGAGACACATTAATGCTAAAACCGTGTCTAGGCCAATTTTGATCCACCCCGTACAATGGGTTCAACTTTTTAAACTAAGCTTTAATAATAATTTTACAAATGTGGCAATTAAATGATAGATCAGAGTTAAACCGAACATCAAAATCCCTAAATTAGGAGTTAACCGCTGCAAGCGAGAAGCCTACTAAAGGATGGTCGTAAAAGAACGAATTCTTCCCCACACAATTTTACATAATTATTCCTTTATATAATGTTAAGCAACAAACTCTTCGTATGCGTTGAAACGCGGAGTATTGGCTCGCGTAAATATAGTGCGTATAATTATAAGAAATTCCTTACATTCATGTCCGCGGCCGACAGTAGGTCCTTCTCAAAATATTTCAGAATAAGATCGGCAGCTAGTTGTCGAACATCGAATGTGCTGTCTAATACGAGTCTCAATAATGCGAACAGGCTCTCTTTATTGGTGAACTTCCAACTGCCAGTAGCATTCAAATACTTGTTAATCGCTGTGACATTGCGAAGATATTCACTAGAGGCGCAGTTTTTGTACGAATCTCTGCTCGTGAAGCCGAGCAAGACCGCGTACAGCTTCAATGCGAGGATCTTGCGCTGATAACACGAGCCTATCTCGAAGCAATCCAGGAGAAATTCGTGCAGCCATTTCGTGAACCCGGAGATGGATCCCATGCGGTCAGTCTGAACGCTGATCGTCCTTAGGATATTCGAGTACAATATCTTGAAATATTTTACTATGTTTTCGCGTATGAAAACACTCGAGGCGTTCACGTTGAACCACAGGAACTGTTCAATCCGAAAGAACGGACCTATCTGGCCGTCGTCGATCGGATGATCGACGGCGTAATAGCAGAGCGTGGCGAAAATGTTCACTCGTGTGATTTCTCTGCTGTCGTTGATGTATCGATCGATATTGCATGTCCACGGAAACGGTATGTGTAATCTGGCGGCGGTCATCAGCAAATGCGTTTGACAGTAACAGTAGCTTTCTGAGTCGACCAGTGATTCCCATAAAAATGTGAAAACTCCCTGATGCATTTCAATAATCGAATCGAGCCAATATTTGAATAATGAATGAAGCGCATCGAAATTCTGCCTTCTATAAGAAATATCTTCGATTATATAATTATGCATCTACATCACCGTGCACCGATATTTATGTAAGAAATGACATGAAGAATGCGTTTCGCTATAGTACCCAGTAAGCAAGAAACGTTAAATCAATCTTTTGATTGATTTTATGTGAATTTTATAAATATTTTGACATAATATTTGATGTTTTTGAACTGTTACTTGATAATATTATGTTTTTAAATATTAAAATTATAGTGTAAAAATTTTCAATGTTTCGATCAAATATTGTTAACAATGACATTGTATGCAACATTGAAAATTATATATTTGAAAACGTTACATATTATAAAATATCATTGTAATAACGTTGTATTAATAATTTCTTGTTTACTGGGCGTGGAATTAGAAAATGCATTTGTACGCATTACTAATCGAGAAGAACGATCATAGAAAAGGTCTTGAGACATTATCTCAAGAGAAAACAGAATATATTTTAAAGTACGTGTAGATTACGTTTTGTACGTCGAAATAATGTTAAACTGCAAAAATTTTTTCTCAGTGTAATTTGATATCTCCCCCTCCCCCCAAATGAAAATGTGTGAAAAATTTGAGGCGAATTTTTAAAATTACATTCTTACAGTTCTTGAGTGTAGAATTACCTTTATGTAAACTTACTCGGCTTTCGACTCCCATTGCTCGATCACAATTTTCACGGTCTTTCCAAACACTTTCTTCCACTCACTCTCGCTCAGCTTCCTCAAGATTACCATATAAACTTTCGTGGCGGCGCAACGTAACGATTTGTACGCTAAAGTGCTGCATAGATTAAACACGAAGTCCTCCGTCAAGTTCTCTATCATAGTTTCGACATTATCCCACAGTCGGAGAACTTCCGCCAGTATTGTGAACCTTGTTTCGTCGTGCCACAATTTGCTCGATTTGCTCGATTTTATTCTGGATTTGTCACAGATATCGAATATATGCTCGAGAAATCCGTTATATTTCTCCGACATTATTCGAAGATATATACTGAAAAGCTGTGCATTCTGCTTAGGCACGTCGTTGTATGCGTTCGACCAATTGGAGAATAAAATAGCCTCTAACTTTTGCTCCAGGACGATGTCGCTTTGATACCAGAAGCGCGTGTCGTATGTCCTTTTCAACCAAACATGCAACACTTTGTACGCGAAGTAAGAATATCTGGTGTATTTCATGCAATTTCTATATATAATGTCGAACATGATCGAAAGAATGCAAACAGGGTACATCTCTTGGTCTTTCCGATTCACCTGCAGGTAACCATAGATGTTCAATAACTTGAACAACTCGAGATCAGCCACAATATATTGTGCCTGGAAAACATACAAATTGCATGATTCCAATGTCTGAAAATCTTTTGCGATTGTTCTAAACCACAACCAGTCTAACGACGAGCTGAGCTGCGCAGAGAGCAAAGCGTAGAGCGCGTGGCACGCTAACAGGACACGTTCGTTCCCTAATTCGGAATTGCTACTGATTATCTCTAGAATATGGCTTAGAATTGGCCTCCATTCTTTTATGTTCATGACCGAAGAATTGTGCGAACGCGCGAAGCTTATCAATTTCTGAAAAAGAAAAAAAAGACAAGCAGCTATAGCGAATCCAGAATGTTGAGACGCCGTACGGTATAAGCTCGAAGGAAATACCAACTCGATAGATCGGCACGTCGTTCCGGCAGTTCCGCAACTCGTCCAACACTTCGTTCGGTTTCATGTTCTCCTTAAAGGCGCTCATTATTTCGTATGAAGTGTAAAAATAATGACGATAGTTATAATTCAATTTGATTCTCCCGCGGGACTTTGCTACTTCGCAATATATTCCAAGAATACGAGTGCGCGTCTTTGGAAATAATGCTTCTAGTTGCACGTATCTTTATCCGCAGTTCGTAAGCCGAGAACCTTTTGGTTCTTCTCATCAAATTGCTTCGGCAGCTCGGATCTCTCGGAATTTTCAGTCCTGCCGTCGAGGCAACGTATCCTGCAATTAACGGAGAATAATACGTTCTAATTGAGCGGTATTTTAGCGAGAGAAGGAAAATAATATAAAACTAATTTTAAACTGTGATCAAATCCGCAAAAGCTATGTCGTGGCAAATTTTAAGAATCATCAGAATCGGAGGAAGTTATTAATTTTAAGTATAGTATAGTAAGCGTATGATTGAAATAACTGTCAGATTAGCTTGGCGCTATTAAACATTATATCCGAGATTATATCCTTCGGGAATGAAGGAATTTTAAGAGAGAGAAAGAGAGCAAACGTTGCTGCAACTTCTGAGGTACCGGTTAAGGATAACAATGTAAAATAATAAAACTATTATTACAATAAAACTATTGTTATTTCAAAGCGTTTTGTTTATTGTAAACCAAGAACAAAAATGAAGACGACGGTGACAGAAGATATTCGTGCACGAAATATATGAATTAGTTAATAGTTTAATCGAGAATTACGATGACTGTACAAATCTCGATAGATTAGTATCTTAAGTTTCCTTGGACTCTTCGGGAACGTACCCCCCCTGCTCTATTTGCTCTTTGAACTTCAAGTAATCTCGCTTACGATCAAAGTGTTTCACCTGCGTAACAGTTGCATAGAAGACTTGTTAGACAGTAAAATGGCTCTATTTGTTGCCGTCAATGTTAAACATGAAATACATACATACTAAGTATTTTACTAAAATAACGCAAAATAACACCGTTCGTGATACTTACCCATTGAGAGGGACAAAACTTTTCATACTGTTTCCTAAATTCTACACAATTCTCTGAGGATTTGCCTTCGTCCAGACAGTTCCAATACTCGTCCCTGCGACTCCAACATCTCTCACGGTCTGCTTTATTTGGGAAAGACATTCTGCAATACAGATGCAATAAAAAATATTTGTACAATAATTGTACAATACATTTATACATGTATCTATATAACAGTGCATATGTATAATTATTATGTATTTATTCTTCTCTCAATTATCTTATATGTAAAAAAAAATACATGATCTTTTGAAATAATTTTTTCTCAGCCTTTCTATATACATATAAAACGAATACAATAATTTTGTTAATTTTATTGGTGAACTTTTAGTATGAGCTTTTATGTTTATTTTCATGATATAGTATGGGTACACTTACCTATTGTTTTTAACATTTAATTGTGATCATTCTATCAAAGATTCACTCACTTATAAACTGAAGAATACAGAATAGTTAATGCGCACCAATGGATATGCAAAAATATATGATTGCGAAATAAATAACATGGTGATATATTAAATATTTAATTAAAAAATATCCAGTTAATACTTATATCTGATGGTTATATTATAATTAAAAGTAAATTTGTGTGTGCGTGCGCGCGCGTGTGTGTGTGTATGGGTGGATGTGAGACTGATGTTTAACATAACATAACATAACGTTTGGAAATACACAACACCTCAGATGAATATAAGCAGCTCAATGTGCTGATGACTTATTTGAGGAAATCTTAAGTAATACAACTGTATAAGATAATAACTTCTATTTAAAATAAAAATATATAAAAACATCACTCCAAAAGTATTAATTAATTAATTAATGATACATTATATAACTTGTAAAAATAATTTTAAAGAAAAATGTAGAAACCAAATTCAAGAAATATAGAAATGTTAATAAATAAACTATAAAAAATATGTTATATAAGAATAAAAAATTATGTTAAGAAATATGGTAATTGTAAATTTAACGAAAGAATATATTACAAGTACAAATAATATAAATGAATTAGAAATTCTATATAAGTATATATTTATAACTTTACGTAATGTTATATAATATTAAATTACGAAATTCAAAAAACATAGCATACATTATGGCATACAGGTCACATATGCTGTTGATTTTGTTCACTAACTAGTTTTAACAAAGTTTGCTTCAAACTTATTTTTAACTGTACAAAAATAGCTGTTAGGAAGCATATCACATGATCATACTTATGTAACCAACTTAAAAAAAAATGGCATAATGAGAAAACAACGCAAGTAAAAATTGTAATTACCTTATAGCAAGAATTAGNAACAATAACCATCAAATTTGTATTATTTAGGTTGTGACCCAATCATTTAATTCCACGTTCATCCTATTTCACACCAAAAATAAATCTTCAAATTCAGTCAATAATTCATAATTATCGAAATATCCGTTATTCGATAAATCCGATCAATCTTGAACATGTGCGTTTTTTCTACATGAAATGTACAGCATATATAATAGTAGGTCTCCAATGCTTTTCTGGCCAGTCTGCAAAAGATAAAAACATTTGATTCATCTTTTGATATAGAAAATGTAAAAAAAATAGATTAAAAAGTGATATATTCAATTAATTAAGCTACATACTATAAATTTTTTATTGCAGGTTAATATCTTGTTTTATTTAACATGTTACAGGTCCGTACAACGATTTTTAGACATTTCGACCTACCTACTTTGCTTCTCTTTCTCTCAGTTCTGAAGTTTTTTTTCTTGCTTCTTGTTATTTACATTCTTTCTTTAAACTTTGACAAAACCTCGTATATATATATATATATTTCGTACCATCTGTATACAAAAAATTAAAAGTTAAATTTGAATGTCACGTTGCGACGATTTCCAGGAGACTTCATAAGTCAATGTCTAACATTGGAGGTTAGATCAAGTTGGAATGTTCAATTTGATTTACGCGCTGTTTGGTGTCAGGATATATATATATATATATACACATTTTTTCGCATTATTCCACCCTCTATGGGCGGTATTTGTAATCCAATCCTATATCAAATATCGCCTTAAGATCATTTTCATAGATGTTAGTAGGATCGTTTCATTGGCTGATTAACATCTTCAGATGGACGTAAGATGATCTTGTAAAATCGGATAATAAATATCGTCAAGTATTATTTAAAAGCAGCTGTAATCCTATAAAAGCCGGCGCGTCGAGGAATGGTATTCCAAAAATGATTGGAAAGTGCTTAACATTACCGATCGTTGCAGCAATAACACGCTTTCGCAGGCAGAGTGGTGGCGGCACTTTCTTTTGGAAAGAAATCGGCCAATCGGCATATCCGAGCAAATCGACACACGGCAAATGAAATGGTATCACCCCACGCATACAATCCCCCTACATTCAATATCCATAGTCAATACATGGGAGATCGTCCACGCTGTGGTCGTCAATTGTTCGCAAGTTCCGTTGTAAGCGAGCACCGTGATAACTAAGTTTTTTCCGGTCGTAGCGTGTTATATATATATATACACATACCACACACACACACACACACCACATATATATATATATAGTGTATATATATTTATATATGTATATATGTGTGTGTTATGTATATATATGTATATATAAATGTGCACGTGTGACATCGCTTTAGACGAGACGAAGCGAGACGAGAGAACAAGCGGCGGAATCTGTCGTGACAGAACGTGGTGAATCTATTGTGCGTTCACAGTGCAAAAGAAGATAGACCGTTCGTCGCAGTGGAACGGAGGAAGGGCCAACGGCCGGGTGATGCTTGCATATGTCTAGACTTGCGAGCACCCAAATCCTGGCTACAGCACAGGTGAAGAGGGCGGCCGCCGCTACCACCGCCACCGCCGCCGCTGCTGCCGCCGCCGATCTCACGGCGGTGGTGGATTACGCTACCTCCGCCAAGCGCCCCAAGCTGGTCGCAGCCGCGGACATCGCGCAACTGACTACCGACGAGGCCGAGACCGACGAGACCGGCGGGAAGGACGACATCGTCATCATGACGGACACGGCGGCCGCCGCCGCGACCGACACGCAGAAGAGAGCCAATTTTTCCGCGTTGACCGTCGGCAATCCGAACGGCGTCAACAAGATCTCGCCGAACCTGGCGAACGCGAAGCCCGGTTCCGCGAAAAAGCTCGTCATCAAAAACTTCAAAAGTAAGCAAGCGGAACGGACGAATGCACGGCCGCCCGTCACCTGACCTAACCTCGAAATCGGTCGCTGAACCTCTCGTTGAGGTACCACGGATACTCGCTCCGTGTTGACATTCTTTTTGTTTGTATCTCGTATCCACGACCGCGACTTCTGGGCTTTTCAGCCCGATCTCTGTTTCGTGAATTTCAGGAGCAGGGAAGCTCTCACGGATACTTGCGGATAATGACATAACCTATCGTGCGAGTCGCAGCAACTTGAGGAATTTGTGTTTCTTGGCTAATGTTTCATATTCATTGAGCGTTTGTTATAATCGCACGCGATATTCCACGTATATTCTTTACGCATAATGTATTAACGTATGATAAAAATTTCTATATATACATATATATATATATATATATATATATATATNTATATACGTACATACATACATATATATGCACATACAGAACATAGTATTGCAACAATGTTACAATGTAGAAATCTATAAATGGACACCTTTGACTTTTTATTCTCCTCGCATTTATGTAGGTAGCACATTATTAAAATATATTTTTGTAATGAGATAATATGAAAAAATAGGTTCCAGAAGTTTATGAAATTAAGTAAAAGAAACAAAGTCAATTGCTATTTCGTATTTGGTGATATCAGGTATTGATTGCTGATATATATAATAATATTTTAGTTACATCTTCAGTTTATTCTTGATTATATCCTTAAGTTATAGTTAAATATTTATGCATGTATGGACTGATTTATCAATATTATTAATTATATATATATGTATGCGTGTGTGTATATTAACAGATTAAAAAATAGGTCTTAAATAAATTTACATAAAAAAATAAGTAAATCGTTGTTTTCCGATGAGAATCTTATATTTAAAAGTATGTTGAATAATATTTTGTGTTTGTTTATGCTTCTCAATGTGTGATAATAATTTTCTTGTAGATAAACCCAAATTACCAGAGAATTATCAAGAACAGACATGGGAAAAATTGCAGGAGGCTGTGGTTGCCATACAAACCAGCAAAAGCATCCGCTATTCTCTAGAAGAACTTTATCAGGCAGTTGAAAATATGTGTAACCATAAGATGGCATCGACACTTTACACAAATTTGACCATCCTAACAGAATCTCATGTAAAAGCCAATATTGAACAATTCTTGGCTGAATCCATGGACAGACATATATTTTTGAAAAAGATGAATGAATGCTGGCAATCACACTGTAGACAAATGATCATGATCAGGAGTATTTTTCTGTACCTTGACAGAACCTATGTTCTACAAAATCCAAGCATTTCATCGATATGGTTAATAATACATGAATGTTACAAGAAAATTTTTAGGCTTATCGGTTTGCATATATCTCATTGGATTTGTCTTTCCAGGGATATGGGATTACATCTCTTCAGACTACACATTGTATTGAACAATTTAGTGCAAACACGCACAGTGGAAGGTCTTCTTATGCTCATTGAAAAGGAACGACAAGGCGACACTGTGGACCGAACACTTCTCAAGTCTCTCTTAAGAATGTTATCAGATCTACAGATTTACCAAGAGGCCTTTGAAACTAAGTATGACAATAAGTTTCTGAGAACTATATTTGTTAACACATATATTATTCATGATTACTCGCGTAAAATCGATATTTATTAATTTTATAAAATAGTTTATTTTCCGCAATAATGAAAAATCTAAATTTATTTGATCAGATCTTTATTTTACCAGAATCTTTTGTTATTTGTCGATGTCATAATACGTAATTTTCATTTTTTTCTAATTTAGATTCCTAGTAGCTACAGAAAGACTGTATGCTGCTGAAGGTCAACGATTAATGAACGAGCACGATGTTCCTGAATATCTGGCTCATGTGGATAAACGTCTTCAAGAAGAGAACGAGCGACTATTACATTATCTTGATACATCGACCAAGTAAATTTTTTTATTATACAATATCAGCTCTAGTATTTTGAACAAATTATTCAAGTTGAAATATGGAATATTTTTATATAGATATACAATTTGATTAGATATATAGAAGGTTTTATAAAATTAGATTTATATTGTAAGAAAATATAGCCTATAGAAGCCTATGTTCATTAGATGTTGGAAACGATAATTTATTAACTGTTAACGAATTTATTAACCTAACGAATTTATTAACTATTTTCAGATGGTCACTCATACATACTGTAGAAAAACAATTACTGTCTGAACATATTACTAGCATTTTACAAAAGGGTTTAAGTGGATTGTTGGATGAGAATAGGATTAGTGACTTATCATTACTTTACAACTTATACAGTCGAATAAAGAATGGCCTTGTGGAGCTTTGTTTGAACTTCAACTGTTACATCAAGGTATATTTGCGTTAGTAGATTTTAGTATGCAGTAGGTTTTATATAAAACTACCAGAATTATACAATGTATCTTTGTGTCTCTATAGAAAAAAGGCAAGACAATAGTTATAGATCCAGAAAAAGATAAAACGATGGTACAGGAGCTGTTAGATTTCAAAGATAAAATGGATAACATAGTCAATACGTGCTTTCATAAAAATGAGAAGTTCGCAAATAGCTTAAAAGAAGCTTTTGAGGCTTTCATAAATCAAAGAGCGAACAAACCAGCGGAATTAATAGGTAATATACATGCAATATGTCTTTAGTATTTGCAATATTATAATATGCAATGATATGTAATTGAAACAATTGTCTCGACTAGATCGTTAGTCTAGAAACTTTGATCTTCAAACTTTAATGTGTATTGAAAAACACTTCAAAAAAAACTTTGTTTTTAGCTAAATTCGTGGATTGTAAGTTACGCGCGGGTAATAAAGAAGCAACAGAAGAGGAGTTGGAGAGATTGCTAGATAAAATTATGGTACTCTTTCGATTTATACACGGAAAAGATGTTTTCGAAGCTTTCTACAAAAAGGACTTGGCCAAACGTCTATTGGTAGGGAAATCTGCTTCTGTAGATGCTGAAAAGTCGATGTTATCTAAATTGAAGCAGGAATGCGGCGGTGGATTCACTAGTAAATTGGAAGGAATGTTCAAGGATATGGAACTTAGCAAAGATATTAATATCGCCTTCAAACAAGTGAGAAAGACAATTATTTGTTTATTACAAAAAAAAGAAATATACTAAATTTGTCAGTGGTCTGCATTGTTTACTTAACGATTATACTGTTTATAGGATATATTATTTTGAACGTCTATTATATTTCCAGTATGCAGGAAATTTGCAAAGTGAATTAATAGCGAGTAGCTTGGACTTGACTGTATCTATACTTACTATGGGATATTGGCCGACATATCCTGTTATGGAAGTCACCTTGCCGATGGAGATGGTGCAGTATCAAGATGTGTTTAATAAGTTTTATTTGGGGAAACATAGCGGTAGGAAATTGCAATGGCAACCGACTTTAGGACATTGCGTGCTGAAAGCTTGGTTCAACCAGGTATTGAAAACATCGTACTATTGCTGGTTGATTGCATCAATATGTAATTGTCAATTTACATACAAGTGTTTCCGATATGAAATAGGGTAACAAAGAACTGCAGGTATCGCTGTTTCAAGCGCTGGTCTTGATTCTGTTCAATGATAGCGACAATCTCTCATTGGAGGATATTAAAGCCGCCACAAATATCGAAGACGGCGAGCTAAGAAGAACGTTGCAGTCCTTAGCTTGCGGAAAAGCTCGTGTTCTTCAGAAGAATCCACGTGGACGGGATGTCGCCGACAATGATAGATTTGTATTCAACGCGGAATTTACAAATAAGCTGTTCAGAATCAAGATTAATCAAATTCAAATGAAAGAAACGGTATTTGATACAAAATACAGTTACATTTATTTTATTATCCCTTTAAGCGATTATTTATGCAAACTATAAAGATAAAAGAAAGTTTTGACCTTTACACATACGTAACATAAACCGAAGTATATTCTTTAATTGCACATAGAATATTTTAAATATTTATTTTTTTTAGAACGAAGAACAAAAAGCAACGGAAGAGAGAGTGTATCAGGACAGACAGTATCAGATTGATGCTGCTATTGTCAGAATTATGAAAATGAGAAAGACATTGACACACAATCTTCTTATCAGTGAACTGTATAATCAATTAAAGTTTCCAGTGAAGGTATGACTTTGTGCAAAACAAACTTAACTATTTTTTATGTTAATTTAATTAAAAATAATTGTTTATTTCTTCGATGTCTCCTTTTCTAGCCTGCAGACTTGAAGAAACGGATCGAGTCTCTCATAGACAGAGATTACATGGAGCGAGATAAGGACAATGCGAACCAGTACAATTACGTTGCGTAACCTGAAGCAAATGCCAAAGTCACGTTGAATCAAATCGACGCTGATTTTTCTAGCAAATTGAAACAATCGCCATCGATATTTGTCTATTGTGAATGTAACGGGTTGTAGCTCAAGTGACAGACTCGTAATTGGGGATCTGACTGTTTGGCATAACCGTTATAACGTGTGGACAGTGCATAAAGAAAAAGAAGAAAAAAAAATGAAAAAAAAAAGAAACTACAGTGAACTTCCTCGTTTTGATTTTCGTAGTGCGTTATGGACACTGAACGATTACAATCCTCTTTGTACGGTGTTGTGTTATTGCAGAGTTTCGATAATGAAAAAAAAATGAAAGAAAGAAAGAGAGAGAGAGAGAAAGAGAGAAGCCAGACTATCCACACATGGAATATCCTTGATAATACAACGTCCTAGGATATAACGATTTTTTATGCGACGCAGTTTTTCACAGCATACTTACAATTAAGGGGATGTAATAGAAGCAGAATGTAGAATAACTCTGACACTACAATGGGAAATAGCGTATAAGAGTGCAATTGCAATATAAATTAATTAATTTGAAGTGAACAACGCGCGTGCGCGATGCAGTATTTATAATGAAAATAAAAGAGACATACTACATCTATGCAATATTGTGGTACTTATATATTTGAAATCCACTAATTATTTCTACTGTACAATGTGTGCTTTTTCATATGTTAATGAAAAAGAATAAAAAGATACCACGTAACGGAAGAGCTCTGGCACGAATGTAGTATGTGAAAGGTATTTCTGATTGATTACATGATCACATCATCGGAATATAACGTTGAGAAATTGGAAATTTTTAAGTGTTTTTCGATCAAATTTGCAAGAGGTTCTCTTATATATTATCCTTATATCGTTTGAAGTTATAAATTATAAAAATGATGTTGAAAAATGTAAAATGACGATAATCGTGTGACGTTCCTCACTATTTTCATCGAAGAAAAACTATGATTAAGTTTATGGAAGAATTGACCATTCGAATTGTTAAAACGGTCTGAATACAAATATAGTACTTTTGGTTTATAGAGAGAATCTAAAAATAAGGAACGTATATACGAGATATTTCTTTACAAAAATTAAACTGAAAGCTAGTACAATTTGTTCAAACTTTAGAAATGGCACAACAGGTTGTGCATTTTAGTAGATGCAGTTGGAAACTGATCAGTGATATAACTTCGTGCATATTTGGTCTTTAAAACCGGTCCCAGTACTTCGTGATCGTTTCTCGCATGATAATATAAATATATGTTATGATATATATATATA